TCAGCCTCACACCATCCTGACCCATCAGGGACCCAGGCCTTCCCCCAGATAAAGGGTAGGGCTGAGAAAGGTGTGGGGGTGACTCCCAACCAGCCCTACTCCATCAAAGCTTCTCCCTGCCTCCCCTCCTACCTGTGAGCCCCCACTGGTGGAGGGGAGGGATAAGATGAGAAGAGTCACCACAAAGGATGTATCAGGGTGCTAGAGTACCTTGTTCCCTTCCCCAGGGTGCCTCGCGTCCCCTTGTCAAGATGCCTGTAGTGCTCCCATATTAGAAGATGCCTCTGATTCTTGAGCTGCTTGGGTCTTCTAGAGAGTCCCCCAGCAAAACAGAGGGATGAATCTACCCAACAGACATCAGAGCACATGATTACCAATGACACGCACAAAAATGTTCACAGCAGTACTGTTCGAAATAGCCCCAAACTAGAAACACCCAAATGCCTTCAATAACAGGACAGATCAATAAAGTCTGTATCTTCACCCAGTGACAAGAAGGAATGATCAACAACCAAACACAAGAATACAGATGAAATTCACAACTAAAATGCTGAGCCAAAGAAACTAGGTACAAAGTAACACATATGATGTACTCCATTTATAAGTTCTAAAATAGGCAGATCTATGCTGTTAGGAGTTGTGGTGGTGTGTAACCCTCAGTGCCTGGACGGGGGCAGCGGGAGGAACTTCTGGATGCTGGCAACACTCTGCTGTTGACTGCGTGCTGGGTACATGGGTACATGGTGCGTTCAGTTTGTGAAAACTTTGTACCTTTTTCTGTATTTATGAAACACTTCACTAAACTAAAATAGAGGGATACCTGATGAAGCCTTCATCTGGGTAAACCTTCATATCAGCTGCCGTCTGGGTAAGATGAGAGGCGTCATTTTCACCCCTCCTTCCTGCCCCCTCTCAGCCCACCCTCAAGCCAGTCTCCATCTTTTCCCATCTCTGCCTGAATCAGTCTTGCTCTCACCCACCATGGAGCCCTCCCCATGGCCCACTACCTCTCTAAACCTACACCATCAACATCTCTCCCCTAGGCCTCCTTGCTTTGGCCCTTACCCCTTCCAGTCCATATACACACTGCATGGATGGTAGGGCTCATGTGGAGCCTCAAGCAGCCAGAGAAAGCATTTGTGAAATTCTGTAAGAGCCCCAGCTCTCCACATCAGGACCTTCAAATGCGCTGATGCCACCACCTCGATTGCTTCTCCTTACTAACCTCTGCTTGCACTTCAGCTCCTTGCTTAAATGCTGCTCCTTCCACCCTCCCAGTCTGAATCCAAGCCCTCTGGTAGCTCCTATTAGATCCTGAACTTCTCCTCCACATCGCTGTTTACAGTAACGCATTTATTTGTGCAATAAGTTGTTTGCAGTTTATTCTCTCCTACTATACTGACACCCCCTCTGAAGGCAATAAGAGCTGTCTGCTTTCTTGCTTTACCCCCAGCTCCTAGCTCAACATCTGGCTTACAGGGGATGCTCAGGAATGCTTGTTGACTAAGAGACTAGGTCTTAATTGTTCCCACCACACAAAATAAATGATAATTATGCAACACAATAGAAGTGTAGCTAACACTACAGTTGTAATCCTATTGCAATATACAAATGTATCAAATCAACACCTTGCATACCTTAAACTTACAATGTTTATATCAATTATATCTCAACAGAAATAAATTTCTTAAAATACAGAAACTTATGTGAAACAAATTCTGTCAAAAGCTAAGGTAATAAAAATCCCAAAACTCCCCCAGGAAATTGGGGGAAGGCAAAAGTTGCCTCTGGGAACAAAACTCCCTCTTGTCTGGGATCAGGACACCTGGGTTGGGTTCTGGCTCTGCCACTCACTTGTTATGTGGCCTTGGACAAGTCATTTCCCCTCCCTGGGCCTTTGTTCATTTGTTCATTGTGAAATGTAGAGGTTGGGTGGGTTAAGACCATGGGTTTGGAGGAATATATAACAGTGTGTGTGTGTTTGTGTGTGTGTGTGTGTGTGTGTGTGTGTGTGTACACATGCCAGTGCACATGTCCCTAGCAAGAGCATCCATAGTTTTCATAACATTCTCAAAGGAATCTGTGACCTCAAAAGGTTCAGAATCACTAACCAAGATGTTCTTCAACTCTGGGGTATATGATTATATGTAACTAGAGAGACAGAGAGAGAGAAAGAAGTAATCCAACCCATGGTAGAGGGGGTTAGATTAAAGAACTTCTAGGGGTATAGGACCCCACAACAGGAATGCAGGGGAGGCTGTAGAACCTGGCCTCCTGGGGAACTCCTGAACTTGACAGGGCTTTGGGCTACTGGTCAGAAGCCAGACCACAGACCCCAGCGCTGGTTTCAGAGAGAGGAGTCAGAAGCAGCCTGGAGTCTCCTCCCCTCTGTTCCTGCCACAACCAACAAGCACTCACTTGTCTTGGGGTACAGCAGAGAGTGAAGAGGTAAGGCTGGCACCTGGAGAAGCCCGCCAGGCCCCTTGGCACCCAGGTCAAAGAGGATTTGGCGGGAATGCTCAGAAAAGGTGCCAAGCCCCACCTTCCTTTCTCCTGAGACTGGCAGGCTAGCATGTGGGATCAAGGGGTTCTCAGAGCATACGGCAATCATGGGGCCCTGAAGAGGTTACCTGAGGGGTACAGGGCCTACATCTCCAGGCTCCAATAATGCAGAGCTGGGGCTCAGAGGATTGGGAGCCTCCAAGCAGAGAGGAAAAGCAGGCCACAAATTCAGGACAGAGAAGGGGACTGGTATGGTCAATAGGGCCTGGGGGGACAAAGCAGGCCCCCAGAGAGAGTAGGGCGGTATGGCCTGAGCAAAGGACAGCCTACTGAGGGGGATGAGTAGGGGCAGCATGGCTAGGGGAAGAGGGTGATATGGCCTAGGAGGGGGAGGGCTGCCAGAGGGGCAAGGAGCAGAGCAGGCTGAGGGCGGAGACAGGTAACATGAGCACAGCCCAAGGACAGCTCGGCCTCTGGAACCTATGGAACAGGGGTGGCAGGGGAGGCATGGTCTGCAGCAGGAATGGTGGCATGTTGGTGGCAGGACTGTCAGTGGCAATGCCCTGGACGGGAGCCCAGATACCTGAGTAGCTTGTAGCCCTGACTCCTGAGCGGGGCCTGGAGCCCAGAAGATGTTTACCCACCACAAAAACCTAACGTAGTAGGAGCCTGGATGCTCTTCCTGGGCCACTAAAGTCTCCTTCGAGTAGCAGTATGAATGGGGGGCTGGCAGAGGGAGAGAGCAGCCCCCCCCCAGAAACAGCATCAGCGTCAGTCACTGGAGCCAGAGCCAGGGAGCAGGGCCACGGCAGGGGCCCAGGGCAGAGCTTCAGCCTGCAGATAAAGGGGGGGCAAGCACGGAAGAGTGCCAGACTCTCTCAGGAGGCCACTCGGAAACCAGCTCATCTGCATGCAGACAGACACGCATCCCCATCCCTGTCCCTGTGGCTACCACACACCCACGCACACACACTCCCCTCCCTCTCCCCCTCCCCTCTCCTAGATATCCCACCTCCCAGTCCCTGAATGCCTGTCCCTGTCTCTGCCCACAGGTGGCTCACCTGGCTCCCACCCCACAGCTGGCTGCATGGGGAGCAGAGAAGGTAGGAAGACGGGGAATCCAGGAGACCCACCAGCAGACAAAGTCAGGTCAAAAAGGGTCTGACCACAGACAAAGTCAGGTAAAGGAGGGACTATGAGCTCATTTACCCCTGAAAGCTCTGAGGACAGAGGAAGGTTCATGACGCTCTGAGGCAGAGGAGGAGCCCTGAGGGCCTCTGGAGGGGTTCTACAGTCTGGGGGTTCTGCTGTGCCACCTGCACTCCCTGGACCCTGTGCCCCTTTGCCAGGACTGAGAAGCAGTGGTCTGGGATGCCTCATGACAGCCCCAGGCCTCACCCAGTCCCCAGGGCCCTAAGCTAGACTCAGGCCTCCAAGAGGCACAGCCTGGCTGCCGCCACCTGGTTCTGGCAGCAGCTAGGCCCTATCAAGCCTGTCCCTCACCAGGGTCAGCCATCACGGTAGCCATCGGGGCTACAGCTCACCCTAGCCCACGTCCTGGAGGGGCACCCAGTCAAGTGGGGCAAAGGGGTCATTTTGGCACACACACCTGGCTTCACTGGCTGCCCCAGGGAACGGGGAGAAGGGGGCTGGGATGTGGTCACAGGGTACATTTGGAATCGCCTAAACCCTGTGTGCCCCAAGCAGAATGATGTAAGACACCAGCATAATCCAAACCCCACACAGCAAATAAATCTTAGGAGGCCACAGCTTTCACAGCCACCAAACAGGGAGACAGGCTGGTACTACGCAAAGAGCCTAAAGCAGGGTTATCTAGTCCCTAGTGACCCCAAATACCTCCTCTTTCTCCTCCTTGGAGAAATCTGGTGTCCACACCTATAGGAGGCCTATTGGTTCCCGGACAGATGCTTCATCCACAACAAACACCTGCCTCCTGGAAACAGCCTATCCCCACCCCACCCCTCTGGGTGAGTTCCCCACTGCAAGGTTCCAAGACCTCCCCAGAGCAGAGAATTCAGGGATGAGGGGCCAGATGTCCCACCATCCTCAGGTCAGTTCTTGCTCTAGTGGGGCCCTCCCGGCTCAGAAGCCTCCCTCCCTCCTGGCTGCAGAGCCCTGGTCAGGGACAACAGCCACAGCTGTGGGACAGCCATGGGACACAACAGGACAGACAGCTCAGGAGAAATGACTTCTCAGTGCCTCTCCCCAGCACTCTCAGCCCTGCGCTTCTTAGCTCCTAAACTTCACCTGAACTATTTACCCCTTTAAGGGTCAAGGCCTACATCCTCTCGAGAGTGTAAGAGACTCAGGTGAGATCTCAGCCTAACCTGGTGCCCTTCCACCTGGTACTGGCCCAACCCGCTCACCTGGGACAACTGCCGACAGGCACTTTCCTGACGTGGCTCCTTACCTGTCTCTGCCCACCACCGGCCCAGACTCGAGGAGTGCGCCCACCACCGGCCCCCGCAGCGCCCTACCTGCAGCAGCAGCCGGCTTCTCTCGGCGTGGGCCCACCCCCGGGACTCCCAGCCGTCAGCCTGCACCGGGGCCGGGGGACTCCCCGAGGGCTGGGGGCCGCAGGGGGCCCCGGGCTCCAGCGCCTCGCAGCACACCAGGCTCACGGTGCAGCCCATCCGGCCCAGGGCCCGGCGGGCCAGGGCCGGGGGCGGGGACGCGGGCGCCCGGGAAGCCGGCCCGCCCCCGCCCTGGCCACCGCTCGGCCCCAGGCGCCTGCGACGTCGGGAAGGGGGTGGCGACGCCCCCAGCGCGTCCCCGCCCGGAGCCTCCTCGGCCCTCGCCGCCAGGAAGCGGGAGAGTGCGGGGCCTGGCGAGGGGCGGTGACAAGGTCGCCCGGACGCAGCCAGTGACAGAGGGAGACCCAAGGGCGCGGTGGCGCGGGGAGGGGCGGCGGCGGGGTCGGGCTGAGTCTGGGCGAGAGAGAAAGGGACCGACGGCGCGACGGCAGAGGCAGGAAGCAGATAGGGAGAGAGAATATGGGAGAGACGGGGAGACAGGGACACGGGGGACAGGGCGTGGGACTGGGCTTCTGCACAGGGACACCAGGTCCCAGAGAAGGAGAGACGGGTGAGGAGTGGCGGCGGGAGGGCAGAGCTGGGCTTGGGTACCGCGTGTGCCACTGTCCGCAGTGGCTCCGGGGTTTGTGAAACATTAGCTGGTCGGTGCCTGCTCCTCTGTTCCCTGCCCCCAGTGCTGACCTTTGGGGCATCCCAACCTAGAAAAACGAGGACCAGGCGGTGGGAAGACCAGTCTCAAGGAGGAAGAGCCCCGCCCAGGTGGGAGCGCCTCAGCAACCCACCTGGCCCATGACTGGGCAGGGCATCTCACCAGGAGTGAGCTCCAGGACAGAGAGGATGGCACTGGTGACCAGCATTCGCAAGCCCCTCAGGAAACTGAAGTGGGGAGGGGAAGGGAGACTTGTGGTGGGACCCTTGTCCTCCCCTCCCCACCTGCACCGCACTTCAACCAAGTGACAGAAAAGACCTAGCAGAGTATCAGGCCGGGGGCATCACAGCCTCTTTGTGCCACCTGGTGGCGTCAAGGGAGAACGACAAGAACGAGTGACGAGAAGGGGAAGGAAATTTGCATCGCAGCAGTTTCCCTACCCTCTGTGATCGCATTGGGCCAACAAGTGAATCTCCCCGCGTCTGCCTGAGGGGAGCAGTACTCCATCTCACCCACTCTGCCCTGGTGCCCTTCACCCTGCCTCTGCCACTTCTGCCAGGTAGCATTTGCTCCTCCCCGCCCAGCAGGGCTTCCCCCTCCAGGGAGCTAGGCTGAGCCTGAATCACTTCCCAGAGGACAAACTCTGGGAAAGGCTTGCTGGGCACCACAGCCGCAAGTGCCGGGCTCAGGCTACAGTGCCCGCTCTCCAAGCAGCCAGGCCTTCCAGGTGAGTAGCAGGGTACCCCTGAGCCAGGGTGGTGGGGGGACTAGAGAAAGGAGTGATGGCAGGAGCCAGGGGCACAGGAGTCCTGGGTGGAGATGAGGGAGAAGAGGAGGCACATCTAGGTGTTCATGGATTTCATAGAGGAGCTGGACTGGAAGGGGCTACAGAGACCCTCAGTGCAGCCTCTTGGTCTACAGGTAGGGAAGCTGAGGGCCAAGAAAGCAAATGATGTGCCCAGGGTCACACAGTGAGTTACTGGCAGTGCCGGGCTGAGGACCCAGGGCTCTTAAGTCCCAGTTCAGTGTTCCCTGAACACATCCCCCCACCGACCCTCCCTCATTCACCTTCATTTCCCTCTCCTGTCCCCTGCACTGTGTCCCACTGCTTCTTCACTCCCACCACTCCCCAAGTTCAATGCCACAGTCTGGGAGGCAGGACGCCTGGGTTCCCCAGCCCATGCCTGGGCTTTACTCCAGGCTCTTTATCCCGGGCCTTCAGGAGCAGCATTCCTCTCTGAGCCTCAGGACCTGTTGGGGGAAAAGCAGGCTGAGATTCCTCTGGGGGAGGGGGACAGGATTAAAGCCAGGTGACCTGCTCTCCCCATGTGCCCAGCATTCTGGCCCTGACTCAGCTCTGGGGCCTCACTTTACTTCTGCCTCCCTCTGCTCAAAGCACACACATTTTCCACTCAGCTGGGGCCCAGGAAAGGATGAATGTCTGTCTCAAGAATGATGACAAGGCTCTGGCAAGGCTCTCTGTGGGGGAGAGAGGTGACATTCCCTTAGCCCAGTGCCCACATGGCATAAGCATTTATAAGGCTACTCACGTCAAGTTGGGGCCAAGAACATGGGCCCTGTGGGCACACAGACTTGAGTTCAAATTCTAGCTTTACCACTTACAGCTTTGCAACACTGGGTAAAAGACTTACCCTCTCTGAGCTTCCCTGTGGCCTTGTATAAAATGAAGTCAATAACCTCCTAGGATTATTGTGGGAACTGGAAGAAGGATGTCAGGTATATGGCACAGTGCTGGGTACCCAGAAATAGCTCCATAAGTGGGGACCACACCATCCCATTTTCACACTGACCTACAAGAAAAGGCTGGGTTTTTATCTTCCCAGTAAACTTTCTCTGTGACCCTGGAGTGGTCACATGCTTTCTCTTGGCTCTTCTCTTCCCTCATATAAGGGGAGATTGGGCAGCTGAACCCAGCGGCTCCTCTGTGCGCTGACCTTTCAGAGCCAAACAAGGAATCACATCATTTTCAAATATTCATGGCAGAAGAGGGGGCCAGCCTCAAGGTTACCAGGGACCTGAAAGGTGAGTGTGTCCCGAGAGATTTTCTGAGACTTCCTTGGGGGAGTAGTGAGGGGCCTTAGGAGCCTCTCCCTCAGAAACCCCACTGCCTGGGGCCTGCTGTCCCCCATCCTCCCACAGCTGCCATCTCGGCCATCCTCCAGCGCTATGGGGGTGGGCAGCAGCCAGTGACAGATGCCAGTGCGGAGCTGCACAGACTCTGTGGGTGCCTGGAGCTGCTGCTACAGGTGGGCCTCCCTCTCCTCTCCTCTCCCCTCCCCAGGCCCAAATAACCCGAGAACTTGCCCAGATGCTGCTGGAAGAGCCACTGCCTCCTCTGTTACCAGCACAATAAGAGCCAGCAAGTCCTTCCTGACACCTAACCTCACTCCCAGAGGTTGTCACTGCCGCCTCTGGGAAGTGAGGTGGGGCAGGGTGGTGCAGCTGGGCAACCAAGCTGGTCTGAAGACAAATGTTTCAGAGGATGTCCTAGGGCTGGCCCTTTTGCTGCTGCTTAGAGCCCCAGTCATCACTACTACTAGCTTTTATTGAGTATTTACTATGTGCCAAGTTAAGCCCTTCACATGACCCCACCTTATGTAATTCTCATTCAAACCCCCTGAGGTGTTTGACTACCTTTCTTCCTCCCACATCCACACCTTTACCCTTCCTATGTCTGTGTGTGTGTGTCCGTGTGTGGCATGTGTGTCCATGAGGTTTGTGCATATGTAGTGTATGTATGTTCTGTGCATGTGTGAACCTCCCGCCACTCTGCTCATTTATTGCTCTCCAGTCACACTGGCCTCCTTGATCTTCCTGAAACACACCAGGAATGCGCCTACCTCAGGGTCTTTGCACTTGCTATTTCCTCTACCTGGAATGCTCTTCTCCCAGAACTCTGGACAGCACAACTTCTCATTTTCTTCAGATCTGGACTTGAACAGTACCTCCTCAGTGAGGCTTTCTCTCAACCCTAATCTAAAGTGTTAAAACACACACACACACACACACACACACACACACACACACACACATCTCACACACAAGCCACATACACACATACATGTACACACCATACACTTTCTATTCCCTTTCTGTTTCTATATCCCTTTTCTCCTTAGCAGTTTCAGCACTATTGAATGTACTATGTTTTACTTACTCAATTTATTCATTGTCTGCCTCTGCTACCAAGATGTAAGCAGATGAGGTCAGTTTTGTTCAGTGCTGTATCCCCAGGGCATAGAAAGAGAGCCAGCACATAGTAAGAGTCAATAAGCATTTCTGGAATAAATGAACGCATGAGAACACTGAAGGCTCAGAGAGGTCAAGCAGCTTGCTCCTAGTCACAGAGCCAGGAAGGGCAACACCAGGTGCTGAAACTAGGTCTGTCTGCACGAGCCTTTTCCCCTCTACCATGTGACCGCTTGGCATGCTGAAATACGAAGTGGGTTTAGAGAGGAAACATTTCTACACTTTTCTTTCCCTCGTCTTGCTCCCAGTTTGACCAGAAAGAGCAGAAGAGCTTCCTGAGGCCTCAGAAGACTTACTGGGACTTCCTCTGCACTGCCCTGTGGCAGCAGCGGGGGGACACAGAGCTGGTCCGATTCGTCCACTCACAGGACAAGGTGTCCAGAGCCAAGTGGTGGGGAGGCTGGCTTCAGCATGATGAGACCCTGGCACCAGGCCTTTGGTGGGGATGGCTTGGGGCAGGGAGACACAGGCCTGCCCGAAGCCCTTCCTCTTCCTCATCCATCCCTGCGGGCCCTCACCTGGTCCTCACCTCTTAGCCCTGCCATCAGCACCTGCCCAGCCACCTCTTTCCTCCCATAGGCCCAAATCCCATGACACCCCTTCTCATCGACCGCTCGTTCTCATCTTCTCTCTCTGCACTGGCTGAGTTCCCTCTGTCCTACAACCTCTCCCCTTTTTGCCCCTATGCACCCTGCAGTTGAAGACCCCACTGGGAAGAGGCCGGGCTTTTATCCGATTCTGCCTTGTCCAGGGACAGCTGGCTGAGTCCCTGCAGCTCTGCCTCCTGAACCCAGAGCTGACCAGGTGGGCTGTTGAGACACACTCCTACTGATACCATCTGAGCCCACTGTCCCCCCTTGTGAAAGACCCCTCTTTACCCCCAAAATGGATGGCTTAATATTTAGGATGACTAAAATGACAGTCATGAAGTAAAAGTCAAAGAAAGGGCAGACGGGAGGTTAGAACCCAGCAGTCCTGTTAGCACCATGATGCTTGGGCCTCCTGCTCCCCAAGACCACGACCTGCCTGGAGAACCATCCCATTACAGTGTACAGTAGAGGCGGACACTCTGAGGTAGGGGGTGGCAATACCACCTAACCCAAAGGCCGAAGCTACTAATCACTGTTCACACAGGGAATGGTATGGCCCCCGGAGCCCTCTGGTGTGCCCTGAACTCCAGGAAGACCTCCTGGACTCCCTCTACACTCTCAATGGGGTGACCTTCAACTTGGACCTGCAGTGGCCTGACCTGGATGGGGCCTGGCCCATGTTCTCAGAGTGAGTACGTCCAACATGGAAGGAAGCCTCTTTTCAAGGCTTGCTGCCATTTGGCCAGCACCCATCCCCAGCACCCTCCAGGCTCTCTGCCTTAGTGCCATCAGTTCTTCCCTTCTCGGCCCCTGACGCCCTGATTCTCCAGTTCCCTAGCCTTCTGTTTTCCCAGCACAATCTCACAATGTCCCATGATGCTGCATAGGATGCACTCACACTAAAGAATTGTTGGGTGGTTGGGGTAGAGGGCTAGAAGGAGGAAGAGTGGGATGTTGGAATGGGATGTAAGGGTGAATGGAGGGAGGGGTGCATGGACAGATGTAGGCGGGTGCATGTATGAGGGTAGAATATGGGAAGCTGGGAAGGGTGGTGGGATTAATGGGTATTGGAAAGATGGGATATCCTGCAACTGAGGCTCAAGACCACTGCTGGAGAGGGGCTCAGGGTCTCCCTGCCACTTCTACTTTCAGGTCCTGCTGCTCCAATTCCCGCCTGACCCAGGGAAGAAGACCGAGAAAGGCCAAAGATTCATCAAAGCAGGTGCCTCCACCCGACCTCATTCTGAGTTGCCTCTTCTCTATCTCTGCTGGAACCCTCAGGTTGACAAGTAACTGAGCCCTGACCCAGCTGGACAGAGAGAGAGGCCACTGGGTAGACCTGGGGAGCCACAGGGGAAGAGAAGGCTCCTATTCCTCAGGTGGTGAGGATAATAGAGAGAAAGGGACCACAGGCACCATCTGTGTGAGCCAGTGGCCCAGGGGAGGAGGAGGTGCTGGGGAAGATGACCAGAAGCTTGTAGGAAGGAGAGCAGGGAAACAAACTCTGCTGGACAATTTGTAAACGTTCAGTTCAGGGAGTAATTGAAGAACCAGATCCTTAGGTTCAAATCCCAGCTCTGCCCCTTGCATGGTCCTTGGGCCGGTCGCTCATCCTGCCTTAGAGGGTGGTTGTGCACATGCATGGAGACAGCCCATGTGCAGCACACAGCAAGGGTCCCAACTATCTGCTCGGTAAGTGGTAGCTTGTGGTTATCATTCCACAAGCTCACTGTGCACACCCCACCCCACCCCGTCCAGGCACCAGGCACAGATCCCACAAGCACCCAGTCTCTGACCTGCAGGAGGAACACATGGCACACACCTGTTAAGTGTAGTAATGCAGAATGCACAGGACAGCAGGAGAGCTCAGAGAAGCCTTCCTGAGAGTGACTCTTACCTGGCATTTGGTCTCTGTAATCTTTCACCACAGCCCTGCAAGGCAGGTATTGCCATTCCCATTTTACAGACAAGAAAACTGAAATGCAAAACGTCAAGTTCAGGGGGCAGGAACAGAGGATAGAGTGGGAAGAACTTAAGGGACTTCAGACCAATGCAGAAGACGAGGTGAAGGAGGGAGAGGATGTGGGCTGAGACAAGGTAGGAAAGGGCATTGAGAAGTCTACTGCTCCCTGACCAGATCAGAACTTGGGCCTCAATTCCCTGGGCTTATAGTAACATTCAGATTCCTGGGCCCGGACCCAGACCTACTGAACCCCCATTTCCAGCAGGAGGGCCCTAGAAGCCACATATTTAGCAAGCCCATTGGATTAGGGCTACAGCCTCTCCCATGTACCAGGTGGGTGTGTTGGTGCTGAGAGCAATAGTGGTTTGGGGGGACTTTTCTGCAGATCTCAGCCACATCTGGAGGCCCCACAGGAGTCCAGCCAGAGGAGCCACATGCCAGCCAAGCTGGCTGTCTGCAAGATGCACGCAGGGAAGACTGGTCAGCTGGACTCCCTACGTCCCAGCAACACAACCATCCTCCTCCCTCTTTGGGAAAGAAGAGAGAAGATCCCAGGAACCTCAGGCCCTCCCAGAGCATGTGGGAGTCAGAGGGGGAGGAGCTTCAGCAAGACCAGAAGGGAGCCCCAAGGACTGGAGTCTCCCTGGAGAACTCAACACTCAGCTTCCAGGGGCAGGGCGAGGGAACCAAAGGGGCTCTGAGGGAGATAGAGGCAGAAGCTGAGGGCAGAGGGGCTCTGCCAGGTGCAGAGGGTCAGAGAACAACAGCAGGGGCTCACGAAGGGGAAGCAGAATGGGGTCATGTCCATACACTGCTAGCCCCCAGCCCCAAAGAGATGATAATGGACACAATGTCAAGGAACAGGCAGGGGTGGGGAATGCCTCACATTCCAAGGGAGCCCCAGGTCCTCCGGGGCCTGGGAGCAAAGGAAGGCTGCACCACAGAGAAGCTACAAGAGCAAGGAGTGACCAGTGTGACCGGAAGGGAGGAGCAAGCAGAAGTGGCCTTGAAGGATGTGGTCAAGGTGAGAGCACTTGAGCTCTGTACCTGTCTATTCTTCTCTCTCCAACCTAGCCCCTCTTTACCCCCAAAATGGATGGTTTAATATTTAATGGATGGGGGTAAAGATGGGGACTTCACTGGTAAGCTGGGGGCCATTCCAGCCCACAGACCAATTTTATTGGTCTGCACAGCATTATTATTTGAGGATACCCTTTTGAAAGCCATGTATTGTTCAGTTGACCACTGTCCCCACCTCTCCCTATTGCCTCGCACCAGGCCCACTTTATTCAATACTACCTGCCTATCCCCTGTAGGCACTCGAGTTTGAGATCCCTTCCCAACTGTCCTTTGGGGCAGTCACTTGTTCTCAAGTCTACAGCCCTCATGATCTACAGATTTCTGCCCAATGTCAAGTTCGACTGTTGCAGATCCCACTTAGTTACTCTTCTTGTAGATGTTTTCCCAGGGATTGTTTTCAAGCCTTGTCTCAGCCTCCTCTGTAGCCAGAGTCTTCATATCCTTGAGCTTTGTAACTTCCCTCTTTCAGTGAAAAAAATGGGGGCTCCAGTTCCCAGTCCTTCCCTCCCCCCTGGGGACATCCCCCATGGCCTGGGGTCTCATGGGATGTTTGTCAGGTCAGACCCAGGCTGCCATCTCTGCCTTCCTCTAGCACCTTCTCTTTCCCTTCCCTTTATCCTCCCCAAAGAGCCTTAGACAAGGGCTCTGGAAGACCAAGGAGCAGGCCCAGCACCAGGAGCAGCTGTTGAAGGAGCAGGAATGGCTGCTGAAGACACTGCAGGAACAGCTCAGCAGGTAACCTTGGCAACCACCAGCACAGAGGGGCACAGAGACCTGGAGGGGGCAGGAAAGGAGGCGCTCCCTGGCTCCTGCTTGCATTCAGGTCAGTAAGCTCCACGGAGGCCCTCCCATGCACAGACCCTGTGCTGGGCACAACTCTGGGATGTTGAGGCAGGCAGGGCATTGTTCCTGTTCTCAAGGAGCTCCCACCCTATCCTCTTCTCCCCTCCCCCTTGCTGGAGAGGTCCTGTCCCTCCCGTGCCCCCTACACTCACCTTTCCCCTTCCTGCTGCCCCTTCCCACCACTCCTCTCTTTCCCACCTCCCTGCCTCACCACACTCCTGCCCTACTCTCTCCCTCAGTCCCCATCTCTTCCTCTGCTGTCTGTCTCTCCATCTCCTGTTCTCTGTTGCAATCTCTTTCCCACCCTCTTGATAATCATAATCATAACTGTCATTTACTAAGCACCTACTATGTCCCAGCCCTGCTTTAAGTGCTACATTATAACCCCATTATGAGACAGGTTTTCTAAGGGTCCCCACTGTAGAGATAAGGAAGCCAAGGCTCAAAGACAGTACACAATTCACCCGACGTCAGCCGGTGGATAGAGGAGCTGAGATCCAAACTGGCAGCAAACTCCAGATCCAGTGGGCTTAAACACTGGCCCACAGCCAATGCCTTGCGTGCCTGTATTTCATATGCCTGTCTTTCCCCTCAGCCTCTGTCACCATCCAGAATGTCCACCTTCCTGTCACCACATTAACCTCAGCAGCCCAGACCATGCTGTCTCAGCATCTGCCTTTCCCCCTCACTTGCTCAGTGTCTCTGTTTTCCCTTCGTAGTTTGTTTCTTCAAATATCTCCACCCTGCAAAGATCTCCTTGGTCTGACTCAGGCTTTCCGCATCTCTCTCCCTTGGTCCCTGCGGGCCTCAGTCTGCCACATATCTCCCACGCAGCTGACATCTGCCCTCGGCCCAGAAGGCACCAGGCTGCCCCCCAGCGGACCCTGAATAGCTGTGATTCAGACTGAATCACAGGGCAGTTTACTGACTGTCTGCTTAACAGACTGAGAGATGCAGAAATCAACCCAAAGAACCCCTGGGGCTCTGCCCACCAGACACTCAGCTGAACCTGGCAGTTTAGTCCGCAAAGATTCCCATGATTCAGGCCCTACATGAATACAGGGGCCCCAAGGGCCAACTCTGGGGACCAAGCCAGGCTGCAGGGAGCCTCTGAGAGGCCCCCACTGCTCCCTGAAGCTGGGGGAGCCCCTACCTCACAGACCACTCTTTGGCCACCTGTCATCCCAACTCTCACTCCATAAACACTCAAGAGTCCCTGCTCTGTTCCAGGCCTGTTCTATGTGCCGAAAATCCTATGGTGGACAAAACAGACAAGCTCACATTCTAGTGGGGGAGGCAGTCGACAAATAAGATAAGCAATAAGATACATAGAATGTCAGATTGTGATAAGCTCTAAAGAGGAAAAAAAGCAGGAAAGGCGAATAAATAGAAATAAAGAAATAGTAATGGGAAGTGATATTAAAGAAGGTGGCGAGACCACGGAAGTGATGTTCGAGTAAAAACCTGAAGGAAGGAAGGGCTGATCCATTGGCTGTGCGGTGGAAGAATGTTCCAGGCAGAGGGAACAGCAAGAGCAAAGGCCGAGTTAGGAGTGGGCATGGCAGGTTCTAGGAATATCAGAGAAGCATTACGGCCCCAGTGGTGTGAAAGAGGGAGAGGATATAGAGAAAGGTCAGGCAGTTCATGGGAGACCCTAGTAGGTCATCAAAGGACCTTGGTTTTGGCTAGGAATTAGATGGGAACAACTGAGAGTTCTGAGCAGAGGAAGGATATGATGTGACTATTTTAATGTTAAAAATATGTTTCTCTTTTTTCAAAACAATTCAGTGGTTTGTAGTATATTCATAAGGTTATGCATTGAACACCACAATCAATTTTAGAACATTTTCATCAGCCCAAAAAGAAACCCTGTACCCGCTCCCAGTCACTACCCATTCGCTCCCCATGTCCCCAAACCACTAACCTGCTTTCTGTCTCTGTAGGCATGCCTCTTCTGGACTGACCTGTGTTCTCAAGGGCTCACGCCTGCTGCTCTGTGAAGCTAGTCTGTAGGAAAGCTAGTTTGCAAGCAGAAAGACAGATGAGGAGTGGGAGGGCGATGGTGCCTGGAATGTGCTGGCGGTGGTGGAGGTGCAGAGAAGCTGCTGGATGTTGGATCAGCTGTGAGGTCGGGCTTCCCAAGGGACTGAATGTAGGGTGTGAGAGGACAGAAGTCGAGAATAACTGGTGGTTTCTGGCCTGGATAGCTAGAGTCACTGGTTACAGTCTGCTGTGGCAAAGCAGCCTTTGTGGGGAAAGTTCAGCTGAGTTGTGAGCAGGTACTGTGTGAGACACCTGTTAGAGACCCCAGTGAAGCTGCTGGGCAGGCAGCTAAGCTGGAGCTCGGGAGGGAGGTGTGGCTAGGGGTTCTATGGGAGAGACATGGGGACGCCGATGGAGAATACCTGAAGCTCGTAGGCTAGGCAGGAGATGTGCTTCTCTGCCTCCTGGGGTCCAGGGAACTTAGGACAAAACACCGCATTCCTGGGAAAAGGGGCCATGGGCATCAAGCTGGTGACAGCTATCTTACCACCAGAGAATGGAAGTGCCACGGGGGCCCGTCAGTCCAGCAACAATATGTATTGTGCCTCTACTACGGCCAATGAGCTGGAGGGACAGCAGTGAACAGCACAGGCCGTGTCCACTGTCACAGACCTGGGGAGACAGATAGTACGTCATCAAGTAGAAATATGATGTCAGGTAGTCAGAGGCTCTGTGGGGGAAAATCAAGCCAGGAAAAGGGATAGAAAGAGACAGGAGAGTCTTCTAGATTTAGAGTCACAGAAGCCTCTGCCGAGGAGATGACATCTGAGCAGAAACTCCAGGAAAAACCAGTCTGTGCTAATACCTCAGGAGAAATGGTCCAGGCAAGGGGTACCAGCAAATGCAACCACCCAGAGAAAGTGTGCAGGGGACAGCAGGCCTCAGTGGATGCAGCAGGAGGACTCCCACTTGCTGTAGGAGGCCAAAGCAGAGTCTTGGGCCAGGGGTCTCAGGGTGTGACTTAGGTTTTTAAAGGATCATCTGGCTGTGGTGTGGAAAATGGACTGAAGGTGGGTGGAGGGCAGCCCATGGGTGCAGAGCACCAGGCTAGATGCACAGGGACGACAGGGCAGACCATCCAGGTAACAGCCTCCAGCAGAGCAACAGGGCTTATGAAAATATACTTGGAACTGAGCTTTGGGGCTTCCAGGACCCACTTCCCAGGCTGTGGCCCTGGGAAACTGGCCTCAGGTCTCTGATTTGCAAAAGGAGACAGTCAAGTCTCTAAAGTCCCTCTTTCTACTCCTATGCTCTCTGAGACCACCAGATTTCTTTCCTCTGCCTTCTGGGTAAGACCTCAAAGCAAAAGTGATTAGGACAGGTGTGATTGGAAGAAGACCTCAGATGGGGACTTAGACAAACATCATGGTAGCACTGAGCTTCTTTGAGACATGCCAGGGGCTCAGGATCATCCTTTGCTCCCACCTGCTGCCCACTCAGTACTGATACCACACATCACTGGTGGTCCTGTAGGGTTCTGCAAGGACAAAGATATGGGGGGGCAAAAAGAGTTTAGATCTGGACAGATCTCCATCTGGAGTTCTGCTCCTTCCACTTATCAAGCTGTGTGACACTGGACAAGTGTTACTCCCTCTCAGAAGTGCTACTTTCTCTCCTATAAAATGATGATCATATTGAAATATATGAATATATGAAATATATGAAAACTAAATGAAACAAGGTGATAAGGCACTAAGCTCAGTGCCTGGCATGTAGTAAGTGCTCAGTAGACTTTATTTCCTTCCATGTCCCCTCCTGCACTAGGAGTGTCTGTCACCCTCTGCTTAAATACTTCACTGGCTTCCCATTGCGAGACTAAAGTCTGCTCCCCATGGGGCCACAGAGGGATAGACCAGGCCCCACTACTTCCCACCTCATCTCCTGTCCTCCCCACCCCCTGCCCTTCTCAGTATCCTGGCTTCACCAGCTTCTTTCAGTTCCTCAAACAAGCCAAGTTCTCTCCAACTTGCAGAACTTTGCATGTGCCCTTTACTAACTTTTCATCTTTGAGACCTACTTAAAAGTCACCTTGTCTAAGAAGCCTTCCCTGACACCTCTCCAGTCTCTCTCAGCCCCCTATTTATCTCTGTCTTACACTTAGTTTAATAATTGTGTTGGTTTATCACTTGCTTTGACCACTGCCCCAAACACAGAATAAGCTCCACCTGGAGCCATAGGCACTGCTCCATTCCGAGCACCTGAAACAGCATTGGCACACAGAAGGTGCTTAATAAACATTTCCTACCACCACAAAGACACTCACTAACCACAGCAGTCACATGAGGGCCTGCAGGGCCACACCAATAGCCCTGGGATCCGTGGGCAAGTAAACTAGCTCAGGAGAATGAAATACCAATACTACAAAATGAGGAGACTGGAGCCCAGAGTGTTCATTAAAGGTCAACACATGGACCAGATCCAATGCTGAGCACAAGAACACTCTTTCTCAAGGCTGTAAGAACTGGCCTTTCTGCAATTTCAGTGGTTATCTGTTGTTGGCCTGCTTTTACAGCCCTCCTAGTTTTCTTCCCTGCTGCATGCCACATGGCAGCATTTAAAAAAATAACCCAATTCATTGTCAAGCCTCTTGCAAGCCTCTTCCCCTTAAATGCACTCAAGCCCAGTGTATGGGCACAAACACACATAACCTGAGGTCACAGGATGTGTGCCCACCATTGCAGCACTCACCCCTCTGAGTGAGGGCCTAAGAGACTGGGGCCTGAGGCTGGGTCCTTTTTATTTCCAGTCTAGTAGACTTCTTGGAACCTTCTAGAAGCCACTAAAGACAAAAAGAAGAAACAAGAATACAGCTGAGGAAGTTCCAAGCCCAAAATTAAACAGAAATTTAAGAAAGCCATCTGTTTAACATTCTTTTTTTATTGAAAAGACAATGTAACAATTTTTCAAATATTTTAAAGCCAAAAAGTTACCCCAAATCCTACTCCACTTACCCTTTCTCCCACAAGCACCCCAATTGTCTGAGCCAGGCCCAGCCCAACCAGCCTGGGTTCCCAGACACCCACCTTCCCTCCAGAGAGCTGTCATGACTATGCATATGCCTTTCAAGGAAATTACATTTTAAAATATAAATATTTTTTAAAAGGGAAAGAAAAGAAAAAGAAATAAAACACATGGAAATGTTGGCTCATCTCCTCTAAAGGTATACATGAGGCTACACCTTTTATGAATGGTTGGTAATGAGTCAGCCTCTAGGTATCATGCTGCACACAGTGGTCAGTTTGGGGTGGGGTGTGGTATTTGTATGTGTAGTATGTGGTATGTGTGTATTGTGTTGTGTGTGTTGTGTGGTATGTGTTGTGTGTGTGGTATGTGGCATGGGGGGACTGGGGGATGTGGAGTATGTGTGCCTATGTGAGTGTCTGTGTGGTATGTGTTGTGTGGCATGTATCTACATGTGTGTGTGTCATGTGGACTCCATCTTCAGGAGGACCACCACCTTCCCCCAGGGGCTCCCTGCCAGACAAAGGCCCAGGCTAGCTCAGTCACAGATGCTGAGCTTTCTCCCCTAAGAACTTAGTCTTCCTTCTCACCTAGGTGTCAGGAAGAGAAGGCCCGGCTGCAGGCGGAGCTGGAGCAGAAGCAACAGGAGGCTGAGAGGAGGGATGCCATGTATGAGGAGGAGCTTGGAAGGCAGCGGGACCTCACCCATGCCATGAAGAGGAGGGTGCTGGAACTGATTCAGTAAGGGTGGACACAGTGGGGCAGGAGTGCGGAAGAGGGGTGGTACGGGAAGTAGAGGCTGGGGTTTGAAAACTACATTCTACTAGCAACTATCAAGCAGGGTTCTGGCCCATTTATATATGCCAACTCATTTCCTTCTTTTAGCCACCTGTGCTGTTATTCCCATGTTACAGATGAGGGTCAGAGAGGCTGACTTGGCCACCAAGGACACACAGCATATAGATCACACTAAGTCTTCTGACTCTAAGGCACGCTTCCACCCCAACCCAATCCCACATGTGCATACACCTACTAAGGTTAGGAGAAGGGAAAGAATCCCTTGGGTTGAGAAGGAATTGGGAGAAGAAGGAGGAGATAACCAAGAGGTAATCATATGTCCTGCATCTGACTACCTACTGCACTTCCTCAGACCACTGGGCCTATGGACCTGTCCTGAGTTCCAGAGGCCTGGCTCACCAGGATCAATTCCAAACCAATAAGCTCACTGGGGGACAGAGGAGATGTGGAAAGTCTAGTTTCTGCCCTTCAGTCTAGTGGACAAATAATTCACATGTATGTCATCCTTGTACCCAGTTCAGGAAGTAGGAGAACATCAGGCTCAGGTTCCATTAGAAATGGAAGATCACTGAGGGGTCATCTAGGACTCAATCCTCTTGTACAAAATCCAAGTAACATTAAAGATGAGAAAAGGGGGAACTTAACCTGGGAAGAACAAAGAATTTAAGGAGTGATCTCCAAGGAACTGTCAACTGTGAGGAAGAGCAATATAAAAAACTAGCTATGTTTCTCACAAAAGAATTTAAGGTAGCTAACGATAAGAGACATATATTGATTGTTAAAGAAAAATAAAAGATTTAACAGTAGATGAAAAATATATTCTCCTGGAGTATTAGGGGTAGGGGTAGGGGCAGGGGCAGGGGCAGGGGTAGGGGTAGTGCTGGGGTAGGGGTTCAGGCTAGAGTTAGGATTAGGGTTAGGGGTAGGGTTAGGGGTAGGATTAGGATTAGGGTTAGGGTTAGGGTTAGGGTTAGGATTATGGTTAGAGTTAGGGTTAGGGTTAGGGTTAGCGTTACAGTTAGGGTTAGGGTTAGGGGTAGGGGTAGGGGTAGGGGTAGGGTTAGGGTTAGAGGTAGGGGTAGGGGTAGGAGTAGAGTTACGGTTAAAACTTAGCTCTGAGCATCTTGGCAGCAGGATCAAAAAGGGAAAAACAAAGCAAGTTGCCCAATTTTCACTGTCCCTAGGAAATATACCAGTTCTTCAGGACAGACAGATTCTTTTCCTTGTGCTTAAGAAATTCATCACAAGTTCCCATACTATATAACATAATATCCCTTGATGAAGTGCTGTGGGAAATATGTCCTTAAGCTTAACGAAAATAAAAAGCCATAGATTGACTTCTGCATCAAGATGGCAGATTGACCACATATCTACTCTGTATCTGAAATAACACTGAAATGATTGTGAAAGAATAAAACTTACAACTGAAAGTTGGAGGAGCCAACCACAGATGGAGAGATTTCAGCTGATTTCCAGAAGCTAGAAATGGAATGGAGGAGCACATACTAGATTTAGCCAAAGTGAAAACTTCAGTGCCCAGAAACACCAGGAACATACGTGGCAGATGTGAGATGAGGGGCAGAAATCAGGAAAATTAACTGATAAATTCATTAGAAAAATCAGTGTACACCCCCTGCTTTCTGCCTGCCTCTCCAGCTACAGAACACCAACAGTGAGGAGCCAAGCTCCCAGGCAAATTATTGAAAGGTCCGTCTCTATAGAAAGTTAGGTGCACCAAATGAAAGAGCAGTGTATTTCAGCATTTGAGAGTCTGATGTGGCAAGTAGCTCCCTACCCAATCCTCCTACAGGGAAGCTACAAGTCAACCAACCCTTTCCACTACTTGGAGCTCCACCCCAGCTTTTATCACCTCTTTCTTAAACATGAAATGCCAACCATGGATTGCCAGACATTGAGAAGAGTCTAGAACATAAAGAGAAACAAAGATAAATGAAAAGATCCATCTCCCATGAAACAAGATGCTGTAAAAAGTGACCACCAAAAGATGAGGACCATTCTTGGAAATTAAAAATATCACTGAAAATTTTTAAAGTTCACTAGGATTGGGAGAGAAAAATGAGGCAGTGTCTGAAAAAGTAGAATAAAAAGCATACAGAGACAGATCTCTAATTGCAAAGAGATGGAATTAGAGATAGAAGAGAATCAATCCAGGAGTTCCAGTGTCTTCTCCAACTGGCAAGAATTTTTTTTTTAAAAAAAGAGAATAAAATGGAGGAAATTCCCAGATAAAAATGTGAGAGACTTTTCCAGCTCTGATAGACACAGATCTTTAGATTTAAAGACTTCACTGGGTGACCAGCACAAAAAATGAAAGAGTAAAAAAAAAACACATCCCCATGTATCATTGTGAAATTTCAGTAAAACAAAGATAAGGAGACTATCCTAAAAGACAAGTCACTGATAAAAGTAGAACTCAACAAGTGTTAAGAATCAATGGTATAATACTTTCAAGTTCTGAGAAAAGCTGACTTTTTCTAGAATCCTATATCCAGCCAAACTATGGAACAAATGGTGAAGGTGATAGAGAAAAGATATTTGTCAGAAAAGTCAAAGAAAATTAACTTCCCACACAGCCTTCTTAGGAAATTAATTAAGGATGTGCTCCAGAAAAACAAGGAAGTAAGCCAAGAAAGGAGAAGATGTGGAATTCAGGAAACAGTAGAGCTCAGGAGAGAAGAAAAGGGAATTCCCAAGATGATAAGTGGGCAGGCAAGCTCAGGAAGCAGTCAGTCCAGGCTGTAGCGGACTATGGAGAGCCTATGAGGAAAGCCTCTGAGGAGAAAGAGAATCAGTAGAATACCTGACATGATGAAGAATTTGGGGGAAATGGGAATAATTAGGCTCTACTAAAAGCAAGTCACATAAGGGGCAAAGAAAGGCAAGTAGAAAATTCTAGAAAAAGAAAAGGTTTTCAAGAAGGGAAACGTTTAGAACACAGCTCTGCTTGAAGTAATACATTATATACTTAGATAATGTATTGTATTTTATAATATACTATAAATACTTATATACTGTCTAATAATATAAATACTACTCGTTTATTTTCCGTGTTAGAATCAGCCTGAAGACAAAGCACAGGAAGCAATTATCATTATAGAACCAACATATATGTCACCACCTAAACAAGTATAGAATAGAATCCAATAGAACTTTCTGTGAAGAGGGAAATGTTCCGTATTTGCCCCATCCACTATGGTAGCTACTAGTCACATATAGTGACTGAGTACTTCAAATGTGGCTGGTACAACTAAGGAACTAAAGTTTTTATTTTTTTAGCTTGTTACGTTAAATGCAAATTTAAACAGCCACATGTGGCTGGTGGCTACCACATTAGACCTTGTAGGAATAGATGACAAGTGGGAGGAGGAGAGCTGAAGAGAAATGATGCTGGCCTCATCATAACAGAATGGTAGTCGTAGTCACTACCTATAGTTAAAAGAATGAGTGAAAAATAAATGTGTGAGAATATTCTGTCGAATTATAATAGTAACCAATAGAAGAACCAAAAAGAGGGATTTCGCTGCTTTGGGAGGAAGGAGAAAGAGTTAGTGAAGATAGATGGTAATAAACAAGTTAAATCCTTTGATATTAAGGTAAGGAGCTCTGTAGATGTTCTCTCTTGGTAAGTCAGGAAGGGTATGAGCATATTGCTGAAATATGGAAGTAATATTAAGGAGAAACAGCCAAAAGATGTAAGTGGCTTGCCACTGCACACAGGAAGGAGTGGGGAGGGTGTCTTTGCCTTTTGATGTATTGCCTTTCTCTGTGCTGCTGGGTTTTTAAATCATGTGTATTTATCATTTTGATAAAAATGTAAAACAAGCCACATTCCTAAACATTCTTTTAAAACAATCCTTAAAAGCAAAAGAAGACCATGGTTTTGCAGGAGCATAAACACACATAATGACAGGACAGTTTGTACTAAGTGCCAAATAAAAGAGAACAGGCATTAGATGCTAAAGCAGTCTGGAGCAAGAAACCTCTGGGGGCATCTGCAATCAGGGAGCGCTCCTTGGAGGAGGTGGAATATGAACAGTTCTTAAATAATGGGTCAAGATTATGCTGGGCAATGGGTACCTGGGTGTCACCACCTTCTCTTAAAGACTGGAGACTCACCCATTTCTTATGTGTGTGTGTGTCTCTCTCACTGTCCCTTCATTTCTCTTCCTCTATCATGTCTCTTTATGTGTCTTTCCATCCTTCTCTGTATTTGTGTCTCTGCCTCTGTCTCTGTCCTTGTTTGTCTCTGCATCTCTTTCCCTGTGTTTTTCTCTCTCCTCCACATTTATCTCCCTATCTACTTCTCTATGTGTCTCTCTCTCTCCCTTTCCAACTCCCTGACTTCCTTTCTCTCTGACTGTCTATCTCCCTGTGTCTCTCTCTCTCCATTTCTGTCTCTGTCTTTCTGCCCTGATATCTCTTGCTCTTTGTCTGTGTGTGTGTGTGTGTGTGTATGTGTGTGTGTGTGTGTGTATCCCCACCTCCATCTGCCCATCAGAGAGAAGGACGGCCTGTGGAGGAAGGTTCAGCATCTCTCTTCCATGGCCCCTGGGTGCTGTGTCAGCTGTAGCAAGATCTTTGGCCGGCTGTCTCGGCGGTACCCGTGCAGGTAACGGGTCGGGCACAGAACCCTTCCTCTGGGACAGCCCAGTATCCACCAGTCCGCAGCACCCTGCCCATTCCAGGGAAGAGAGGGACCCAGGAACTGGGCCATTATGCAAGGCCACCTAAGGCTGGCCACTCATTTTACTGACACTTAGCAGAGACATGAACGAGAATGGTGGAAAGGGGCAGACAAGGAATGGTGTCTGGAAGATGGGACTGTGTAAACCTTCTGAGAACAGACTGACTAATGGGAAGAGACTTCCTGTACAGAGGGAGCCCCTCCCTTCACCTTCCTCTGGGAACACAATGGCAGGACA